TTCTCTGTATTTGCTCTGTATACCCTTACCTCTTCGCATGTTAGAGAGGTGAATGAACATTTGAAAAGGGAGAGCAGCCCTTTCTCCTGGGAAGGAGAACGGAACAGTCCCTGTAAGAAAATGTGGTATGATTGAGAGGAAAATCAAAATCTGACAAAGAAGCAATAATTTAGGATTATACAGCAAGCCTGCCGTCAAACATAATTATGTGACTTCTTCTGGAGAAATGGAAAATGGAAGAAATTTTCAAAAATGAGTGGGAGTATTATGTTGAAAAACATTAGTTGAGTAATAGCTTTGGGGGCCTAGCAAATAGTATCTCTTAGGCATCTTACCAGGTACTTTTTTCATCATGAATGGGTACTCTCAATATTTTCCCCCTTATTAGTGAGCCTCCCTCCTTTCCTCTGGCAGTGGGGCAATGCTGTCAAGTAAATAAGAATCAACATGCTTCTGTTCATCTCGTCAGGTTTTTAAACCACATATGAAAAACCTTTGGTCCAGGCAGATCGTATTTTCTTGACAACCATGGGACTCGATCATTTGTAACTGCCTCTCATTTTAGCAGCAACAAGGGAATTCACATGTCAAAAAAAACAGGTTTAAAATGTTTTTAAAAGCAGAGATTTTTTGGCATTTGCTTGCCACGTGACTGATCCCTTACTGTTTCTGCCTTATAACATTGCCAACACTGACATCCGGCCTCCTGAAAGCGTGCTGCAGCCCTGCCCATGGGTGCAGGGCCCTCCTCTGCAGCCAGGATAGGATAGTGCATCTTCGCCTCTCCCCCATGAGCTGCCCAAACAGCGTAACTCTGGTTATGTGCTTTCTCTCCACCTTACAGACTTCGGTATGACGAGAGACATCTATGAGACAGACTATTACCGCAAAGGAGGAAAAGGGCTGCTGCCCGTGCGCTGGATGTCCCCTGAGTCCCTCAAGGATGGAGTCTTCACCACTCATTCTGACGTCTGGTATGAAAGACTCTCCCTGTAATGTGAGCCCGGGCCCTCCAGCCTCTGCAGGTCCCACCTGCTCAATCTCGAGGGCTTCACTTTCCTCCTGTTTTCTGTTCACTGTGACCCCTTTTCCAGCTTTGGCTAAGTGTTACATGGGCCACACTCCATTGCTGAAGTGTTGCTGTTGTCAGGGAGCTAGCTAAGGACAGAGGGCATTTGTAAGATCTAAAGAATTTGCAGGACCAACATTTCTTTCTTTCCATCCTTAGCTGTTCGCTAAGTGGCAAGGAGCCCTTGAGACAGAACACCAGGAGCCTGGACATTGCCAGAAAACTTCACCTCTCTCTGCTTCTCCCCTGCCTGCCTTCTGTCATTTGATCTTTCACAATAAATAGATATTATGTGTGTGTGTGGCTGCCTCACCTAATTAAACCTTCAGATTGCAGACTTTGCTTTATTTAGACCCAAAGCTTGGGAGTCTTGATGTGTTTTCCTGTTGGTCCCATCTGCTGTCTGTCCTTTCTCAGTGGACATCCAGCATCGCTGACCCAGGGATGTATGGAGAGCAGAATGTCTTCCTTAATAATAAACCTATGTTTGTGGTAGAAAGCTCATCAGCTGAGGAGAGCAGAGAATTCTCAACATTATTGTTTATTGCAATTCAGCAACATTGTGGAGAAATGGACAGTTTCAGAAATACCACTGAGGTTCTTGGCAGGCGAAAGCCCTGGCACATCTACCTTCCAGAATGTCAACTAGTTTCTCGGCCGTCCTCTCAGGAGATCCCATTGCTGATGTGTTACAGAAAAGCTAGTTGTTTACTTCAACTGTCTGGATGACCACATAGAGGAGCTATTTAAATAGTGACCGACATCATTTTCTTTAACCTCATGAACCTGCTGCAGTTCAAGAGTGTTGGATCTCATTTGGAAGACAGGTGCAAATTGGAAATAGCATTTGAATATGACCTGGCAAAGCTTGATTGCTTCTTGAGCTGTTTCGCAATCAGCCTGTCCAAGATGGTTATCTCTTTACTGTCAAATCAAAGTGCTCAACACCGTTTTTAGTTATAGAGATGATGGGGAGAGGACAGACCTGGACCTGTGCATGCCTCTGTTTATGCTAGGCTCCATGCCTCCCGAAGCTTGGGGGTCAGCTTACAATACAATAAAATAGAAAACCATAAGAGCTAGGGAAAACACAGGCAGGTTAGGAGGATAAAACTAGAGTTGTTCATATCTCACAGGCTAATTTTACCCCAATTCTGGTTAGTGACTACTGTGACAGGCAGCAACAAAGGGGCCCATGGGGCATTCAGTGCCGTTTCTCTCTTGTGATGACATACACATTATAAACCAATAAGCAAAAAGCAATGTAAACAAAGTAGGCATTTGATATTCATTCCTTTCAGTGCTCAGGCATTGACAGGATTTAAGTTTTTGTTATTGTTTTAATGACAGCCTTTATGGATAACGCAGGTCAGGTGGGCCAGGATGTTGGCCAATGTGGGAGGTTTCTCAGCTGCCCAGGGTCTAAAGCTCTCCTCCAAGGAATGGAAGTCATTTTAGATTTGTATTCAGTAGCACAGTCATTCCCAAATAGTTAAAATCTAGAAAGAAATACAAAGAATTGTGTTAGGCTTTGTGAGAGAGACCCCAGGATCAGGATTGGAAAGTGTCTCTGAGGTCAGGTCTAATCCCAAGTCCCATCCAGTGTTTTCGACAGCTGGTTGTTGAGCTTCTACTTGGCTGTTTCCAGGGACTGCTTACTCCCTCCCTGACAAAGACAGGCTAATTCCTAAGATGTCCTTGTTCTTTGCAGGTTTTTCTCGAGCTGTGCCTACATCGGCCTCTTGCTGACACCCCGTCAGCCCTTTTCTCTGTAGCGCAGTCACACACCCTGCTCTGTGTATGAGGAGGCAGGCCCTGGAGTCATGAGGAGGTGGTTTCTTCCATTGAAACACCTGCAGATTTTCCTACTGTCCCTCAAGATGTTATTCCCAGGCCCTTGGCCACTGTGCTTGCTCCTATAGCTCCCTTGTAGCCCCAGTCCCTTGCAAATGGTTCCTTTGGGTTAGAAGACACCCAAGAAGTGGGCCCTGCAGGCACGGAGGAAACTGGGCAAGGGACTGAGTAGCTGGAACCTACACTTAGAGTTGTGCTGTCTTCCCAGGCATCTGGAACACCCTATGATGACAGTCTTCATTTCTTGACTCCCTAAGCAGCTTTCCAAATGGCTGCAGACATATAGGGCTGCTTGCACCCTTTTAGGGTTATTTGCTTCTTCAGGGGCTAGTTCATGTCAGTGGGGAATGTGGTTATCTCTGTAGGTTTCAATTTACTGGTCGGGGGGATATTGACCCGATCCTATCCTGCTGTGGTGAGGTGTGCCCAGCCAGCACTGGCATTGAGGTAAGACTCACAGGAAGTTGTTCTCTACTTGGAAAGGCTTTTATCTAATGTTTAAAGATGAAATCTGTCCACAAAATTCATGACTTGTTTTATATTAAGGCATTAATGCCAATGCCAGATTATAAATTACCTGCTTTGAAAAGCATATGGGTGTTGCCTATTTCTCAGTGCCTCTGACTGGCCTTGGTTAAACCAGGGGGTAAGGTTGCCCTGCCTAGTAGGTGAGGTCTGGTGAGGAACATATGCCTTCCCTGCTGGCTCTGCAGTACCTTGGTTTCTGATGATGACCACTGATGATGCCATTTGCAGGTTTTTCTCGAGCTGTGCCTACATCGGCCTCTTGCTGACACCCCGTCAGCCCTTTTCTCTGTAGCGCAGTCACACACCCTGCTCTGTGTATGAGGAGGCAGGCCCTGGAGTCATGAGGAGGTGGTTTCTTCCATTGAAACACCTGCAGATTTTCCTACTGTCCCTCAAGATGTTATTCCCAGGCCCTTGGCCACTGTGCTTGCTCCTATAGCTCCCTTGTAGCCCCAGTCCCTTGCAAATGGTTCCTTTGGGTTAGAAGACACCCAAGAAGTGGGCCCTGCAGGCACGGAGGAAACTGGGCAAGGGACTGAGTAGCTGGAACCTACACTTAGAGTTGTGCTGTCTTCCCAGGCATCTGGAACACCCTATGATGACAGTCTTCATTTCTTGACTCCCTAAGCAGCTTTCCAAATGGCTGCAGACATATAGGGCTGCTTGCACCCTTTTAGGGTTATTTGCTTCTTCAGGGGCTAGTTCATGTCAGTGGGGAATGTGGTTATCTCTGTAGGTTTCAATTTACTGGTCGGGGGGATATTGACCCGATCCTATCCTGCTGTGGTGAGGTGTGCCCAGCCAGCACTGGCATTGAGGTAAGACTCACAGGAAGTTGTTCTCTACTTGGAAAGGCTTTTATCTAATGTTTAAAGATGAAATCTGTCCACAAAATTCATGACTTGTTTTATATTAAGGCATTAATGCCAATGCCAGATTATAAATTACCTGCTTTGAAAAGCACATGGGTGTTGCCTATTTCTCAGTGCCTCTGACTGGCCTTGGTTAAACCAGGGGGTAAGGTTGCCCTGCCTAGTAGGTGAGGTCTGGTGAGGAACATATGCCTTCCCTGCTGGCTCTGCAGTACCTTGGTTTCTGATGATGACCACTGATGATGCCAGGGAGGCAAGTTGGCACTGGGTAAAAATGGTTTTGCCCCCATACACTGGGGCAGGAAAATGGCTGGACTCAACTGGTCCTATCCTGTGAAGGATGACCAGATTTTAGCATTAAATGGCCCTTGCTGTCAAGCAATATATCACACAACAGTTCCAATAAAAGTGCTCTTGGAGAGCCTGGCACAGTGCTCATGCATGCAAGAACAGGGTGGCTAGAGTCACAGTCCCCATTCTTGTGGGATAAAGTCTTGTGAAACAGAGGAAGTGACCCTGACGGGTTGGAATCATGGAAGCCTTCCCAAAAGAGAGTTGTGGCCACCTAGACTGTCACCTGCAGAGCAGTGAGCCAGCAGATTCCTAGCAGTGGGGATGCTGGGGGAAGCCATGGTAGTGGCTTCCTTGAGGGACTTAGACTAAAGAGAGATCAAGGAAGGCCTTGGATGTTGTGTTAAGAGTTTGGAACTAATTCTGCAGGCTCTGCAAAAAAGACTTTTAACGGGATAGTGTCTTCTGAACATGAGAGTGAGCTAGAGCTGTGTTTTCAGTTCACAGTGGCTAGAGTGTAAGGCTGCATTGAATAAGATGTCAGTGCCCAACAGGAGGAGGACTACAGGCCAGGTGAGGAGGACCGCCTGTACTGAGGAAGTGCTCAGGGGAGAAATGGAGGAGACCAGACCTTTGCACAAAGCTGTGCCTGAATTGGCAACTCTGGTGGGACTGAGGAGACCGAAGGAAGGATGACCTCAGGGTGGCCACACAGGTGGAATGGGGCATCACCTGCAGTGAGGCCAGAAGAAGAACAGGGTTGCAAGACAGCTCAGTCTGACACATGTTGAGGCTGTGGTTCGCCAAGTACAGGCATACCTCAGAGAAATTGTGGGTTCGGTTCCAGACCACCGCAATAAAGCAAATATCCCAATAAAGTGAGTCATATGAATTTCTTCATTCCCCGGTGCATATAAAAGTTGAGTTTATACTGTAGTCTATTGAGTGTGCAATAGTATTATGTCTACAAAAACAATGTACATATCTTAATTAAAAGATACTTCACTGCTAAAAAATGCTAATCATCATCTGAGCTTTCTGTGAGTCCTAATTGCTGCTAACAGATCACCATAACAAATATAATAATAATGAAAAAGTTTGAAATATTGTGAGAATTACCAAAATATAACACAGAGATACAAAGAGAGCAAGTGCTGTTGGAAAAATGGTGCCGATAGACTTGCTCAACACAGAGTTGTCACATACCTTCACTTTGTGAAAAAAAAAAAGAAAGCAGTATCTGTTGAGGTTCATTCAAGCAGGATATCTGCTTATTACTGGGAGCCTGACACGGAGTGGTTGGGGCTGAAGCAGTGTGGAAGCCACCCAGTTAGAATTGGCGGCTTGAATAGCAGCGAGCACAGCCAGGGAAAGCGAGAGAAGTGGGCCTGGGAGACAGCCTCACTTTCAGATTATTACTCAGGCCAGGCCTGCAGTCAATAAAAACAGCAAGCTTGTGATTTCTTGTACTGCAACCACATTTCAGACACGAAGGTTGGGAGCTACAGCTACTTCTGTAACCAGGCTGCTTTCTGTACGCAGAGCCCCCACCGCCAGAGCTGATGGAGAAGCCTGTGCCCTCAGCCCCGGGCTCTGAATGCTGCGCCCTGGCCTCTGGGTCTTTGGCTTTTTTGGGGTCTCGTGCAATGTAAAGACTATATTTTGGTCACTAGAAGTTAAATAGGATTTTGGGTGGGTCAGTCCTCCGATTGCTAAGATTCTATTTATGTCTAACATCTCTTAGTATCAATGTGTACAAAAACCTTTTGTCGATGGAAAGTAGCTGAAGCAGTGAATAAAACATTCTGATGGAGTCTGAGGCCCTCCTGGCTTGGGCTCCTGGCCAGGATCCCAAGAGGTCTCAGTAGGAACTGTCCTGCTCCTGAGTTTTTGGTGTGGCTTTGCCAGCACCCCTGGCCTGCCCTGGTCGGGTTGGAAGCCCCTCAGCTGTTGGCTGCTGAGCAGCCCGCTTTATTCTGCTGGAAGGAACTGAATGTAAAGGCAAATAGACCATAGAGAATTTGTAGAACTGGCAATGTGTGCTGGAAAGGCACCTTTATTTTGCAGATTACAGCATCTCCTTTTGCATCACTATCTGAAATTTCTGAGTACACTTATTATCTATTTTAATTTGTTTTTCAATGGTTGGATCTTCTAAACTGACAGGCAGAAGTGCATGCGTAGCACTGTCACTCTCTGCCCCCCTTGCTTAATTTATTCCTCAGCCGCCCCCTTCTCCTCAGCTGAACTCCATGCTTAAGAATTCTTTGTGTCCATGAGCCCCCCACCCACACACACACCTGGGAGCCTGAGCCCATCACAGGCCAGCAGCAGCCCGGCTCCTACAGGGTTTCTCTCCACCCTGGTCCCCCTGGGCTGTAAGATCCCCGTGGAGGTGTCAGTATCAAGACTCAGGCCCCCACTGCAGAGCAGTGAAGTCAGAACTGCGGTCAGGGGCACAGGCATCCATAATGCTTTCAAAACTCACCAGGGGAATCTACTCTGCAGCTGGTGTTGAGGGGCACTTGGGTGCAAGTTTCCAAAACAGAGATGCTTGTTGAACAGCTTGATTGTCCCAGGTTGCACTTGAAGCCACTAAATCACTGTCCCAGCAGGGCCCTGGAACCTGCACATTTACGGGCATACGCGGTCTGAACTCAGCTTGTCCAGGGTTCCAATCAGAGATCAGGAGCTTCCTGGCCATTCAAAGGACCTTGAAAGCCCCTCCTCTTCGGCTTCCTCAGCTGCGCCACTAGGGTTGCATTGACTTGACACAGGATAGACATTCCACACAGCCCAGTGCCTGGTGCACTAACACAAGCCCTGTCACTGCAGGGAGAGCAGTTTTTCAGGGCCTGGGGCAGAAGAAGTGCCAGAAAGGAGAGGGCCATGTGGTCTCTCCATGCCTTCTGAGCCCCTCAACGTTTCTTTTCTCACCATAGGTCCTTTGGGGTCGTCCTCTGGGAGATCGCTACACTGGCCGAGCAGCCGTACCAGGGCTTGTCCAACGAGCAAGTTCTCCGCTTTGTCATGGAGGGCGGCCTTCTGGACAAGCCGGACAACTGCCCTGACATGCTGTATGTATTCCTGGGCCCCCACACCTCTCCCTCCGATTTCCCTCCGCAGTCATGCTTGTCCTGGGTCACATGAGACTAGTTCTGAGAGCCAGTCTCTCTGGCCAGGCAACCACTGTAGTGGTCTGAGCAGCTTAGAAGAGGGTTTATCCTGCTGGAAGGAACCTGTACAGGTACCTTAATTCCACCCCATCTTCCTTAACGCTTTAGTTCTGATTTGCAGTTTGCACCATGGTTTCTCAGGCCAAATGTGTCTATGAAATTTGACCAAACCAATTCTTACTCGTCTTCTCCTTGCAAAGGTTTTAAAAAGAACAAAAGGCAACAGCTTGGCACTGATCACTCTTAAGCTGAATTCTGGAGCCTCTCTCTCCCCAGCTTCCTGCCGGCCTGAGTGAGCCACTGCAGGTGGTGCACGCGTAAGGTCCTGACTCCTTCATGCACTGTGTGGAGTAAACCTCACCCTCTTCTCTCGGGTAGTTGCAGCGTACTGCCACCACACTGCCATCCCCCCACACGTCTGCTCTGTTAAGTGTTTACAAAAGTCATAAACTATGTAAGTGACACACTTTCTGGAGCTTCATCCAATGACCCGGTCAACCTGGAACATGGTTCAGCTGACCCTGCAGACACACACCTGGGCACACACAGCTTGGGGCCCTGGAAAATTTGTCTCCTTCCACCACTTCTTTTCAAAGAAATCTGTTCAGCTTGTTGCTATGACTAGCCAGATAATGGGGAAAGTGTCTGTGCTGCCTCGTGGGCCTCACTGCTGGTGGAGGTCAGAGCTGCTGAAGGCCGGAGGGCCTTGCTGTCTTTCGCTGAACGAGTCAGAGATGTGGTGACAGTGTTCTGTGGGGCGTTGTCAGCTGTGGGACAGGTCCAGGTGGGGACAATGGACTTGTTTTCAACTTACAGTGCAGGGCGCAGAGATTCTTCTGGATTCTGACAAGGAGAAGGTAGGCTATCACTAGTACCTCAAGACCAATTCAGGAATTTCCAGAAGTGCTTTTCAGGACAGGTTCAGCTTCACATTGGAAAGGAACCATGGGAAATTGGGCTGTCTGTCTCCTTGCCTGTGTGGAAGACTCCCAAATCTGCCACCTGCCCATACACCAGGCCTCAAGGGAGCACTGACTTGGACTGGGCCCTGTAATGGTGGGATGGTTTACAGATAGGAGTCAGACCCTGAGTCCAGGGGGTGCCAGGGGCATTGGTCCTGAAACAGCCATGATGGCTTTGGCCATCTGGTCCCAGTTCCCCTGGGTCAGGAATCCAGACACCGGTGTGTGGCGCCTCTGCTCAGTCTCAGGTGGCTGGAATCAAGATGTTGCCGGGGCTGTGGCCACCTGAGGCTCAGAGCCCCGTCCTTGAGGTTGTTGCCCGGATTCCGCACCCTGTGTCTACAGGACCGGGGTTGGCTATTGGCCGGGGACAGTGCTCGGCTCCTAGAGGCAGAGGCCGCCCCCAGTCTTTGCTGCCTGCCCTCCACAGGCCTTGTCAGGTCAGCAAGAGGACCGCTCTGAGCTTTTCCCATTTGTTTACCTGATCAAGTCCCACCCACCCAGGGTAATCCCTTTTGTTTAACTTGCAGTCAACTGATTAGAAGCCTAAATACAGGAGTGAAGTCCTGTCATATCCACACATCCCACCCACATTCAGTGGAGGCGATCCCAAGGGGAGTTTACCCCAAGGGCAGGGATCCTGGGGACCCCCACAGAATCTGATGACCACGGCCTGGGAAGTAGAAACCATTGTCCTATCAACAACCAAGGTTTCATTTTTGTCTAAAGCACTTCGAGTGTTGCTACCATGACTGAGCCCATGGAGCGGTGGCCGCCTTGCTCTCACGGTCCCGCTGTGCAGCGGAGGGGCGGAGGGGCAGTGGGCGGACACTTGGCATAGGACTGCGTGCCTCAGGAGTACATTAGCCGGGTGTTGTGCTCTTTAACTGCTGCTTCTGAATGTTTGTTCAGCCAAAGCCAGTTCTGTCCCATGGACAGCTTGCATGGAATAAGAAAGAGGGCCAGACATTGCCACAGCAAAGGCAACACCTCTGCATTGGCATGTGCATATGCATGTGTCTGTGTGTGTGTTGGGGAGAGGGGCACCCACAAATCATCTGATCATGGGCCTGGACTAGGAAACCCGCAGGTGCTCCTAATAATGACCACCAGTGACAGGAGGCTCTGTTTCTCAGAGGGCAGTATGTATGGGGGACATGGGGTTCCTGGGTTCCTCATTGAGGAACTTCCCAGTACAGCCTCTTTAGTTTTCAGGATTCAAAGTTGAGAGAGACTGAAAAGATCACTTAATGCATTTTCTTGCTGAGCATGGAAATTCTCTCTCCCCCTACCTATATTAGGTTTTTAGTACAATATAACATTACCTCAAACCTACCAGTTTAAACAATAAGCATCCATTGTCTCACTGAAGTTGGGGGAATCAGAGTAGCCTAGCTGGAGGCTGTGACTCAGGGTCTCCCGAGGCTGCAGTCTAGCTGCCCTCCAGGCCTGCAGGCCCCTGATGGCTTGCATGAGGCTGGGAGCCACTTCCAAGGTGGAGCACTCATGGGCTGAGTGCCCTGAGAGGCCTGCGTTTCTCCACGATGCTGTGCAAGGTCCTTGTGCCAGGTAGCTGGCTTCTCCTAGGGCAGGTTCGGCAGACCTTTGCTCTATAAGGACAAGTAGTAAATATGCTGAGTGTTTAGCTCTGTGTTCTCATAAGGTCATGACTGCAGCCTCTCAGCTCTGCTGTCCTAGTGCTAGAGCAGCCATAGACATCAGGTGAACGAACAAGGCTATGTGTCAATACAACTTTATTTTCGGATACTAAAATTTGAATTTCACCTAATTTTCATGTTGTCACAAAATATTATTTTGACTTTTTTCAACCATTTACAAATACAAAAACCATTCTTAGCTCATAGGCCTTACAAAACCAGGCAGCAGGCCAGATTTGGCCCACAGGCCCATGGTTTGCCTACCCTGCCCAAGAGTAAGTGCTCACAAAGCACAAGCCAGAGTGCCCCTTAGGTCCTAACCTTTGAGTTTCACTCCATAGTGTCCCACGTCTTCTGTGGGTTGCACAGGAAGTCCTGTTCGAAGGGGAGGTGAATACTCAGGGCATGAATCCCAGAAAGTGAGGATTGCTGGGGTGCTGGAGGTTGGCCACCATACCTCAAAGACACCCAGTTTCCTCTACAGGCGACTGCTCACCACTCTGAACAGTGTGGTCACTGTATTCTTGTCAGCCCGTGACCAGAAAAGTCTTCCTTTCAAGCAAAAATGGAATATATCAGTAATGGAATATGAGGAGTGATGCCCACTGAATTGGCATAGGTATGCGTAGTGCCAGAAGAGAGGCAGATACTACAATCCGTGGTGTTCTAGCAAACCTAGAAACAGTCCAGGAAAGCAGGTGTGAGCTTTGTTCCTCTGGTTTGGGTGGTGGGAGAAGAGGTGTTGTTTCTGAACTTTCTCTTGACTCAAGGAAATGTTTGTCTCTGAGAAACTTGTGAGACTCTTCAAATTGATCCGCCTCCAGGTGACTGGAATTTTATATTAATTTAATATGCCTGGGAAGCAGCCCACCTGCCATGGGAAAGGCAGTGCACTTCCTGTTCCCAGCATAGAGTGACAAGGAAATTTACACGGACAGGTTACTCATGGATATTGAATGTTTAATTCAGGAAGCATTTCTGCTTTGCCATCCAGAACCCTGTTGGCAAATTGTTCTCCCTTCTCAGAAAAGAATGAAATGCAAGGGGCCGAGCTGGTTTCATAGGGAGCGTCTGTGTTGTCCTTCTGAAGGCGCAGATGAACTCAGAGAAGGAAGAAGTGTTCTGGGAGAGGGGTTCTTTTATTACAAGAATCGAAACAACACGCTCTTGTTTCTCCCAAAGGAGAGGAAATTCACTGAGCCCTCGGGTTTCCTGAATGCCCTGCTGGGCCTCTGTGTGGAAGAGGAAATGCTTCAGTTGTAGGGTGCCAGAGGTCTGACCGGGCACCAACCGATAGGCTACTGTTGGGGCTGCGTGTGCACTGGCTGCCGGCGGACTTCAGCTCAGCAGCAGGAAGGTGCTTCAGCTGTTGGTGTCACCTGCCAGCAAGGGAAGCAGGCACCTCTGGAACAGCCACAGAGCCCCACGCTCTTGGGAGCACAGAGGCTCAGGCTTTAGAGGGAAGCCTCCATGGTCCAAGTCCCAGGATGTCCAGGCCTATGAGTCTTCACGCTGAAACTCAGTTTCAATCCACTCTGCAAGCGGCATGAGACCACATTCAGCTTGTGGTTCGCTGGCGGACCCGTATTTTAAATTGACGGCAAGGGCCATCCTGAACCTTGCCTTCCACTTAGGTCTCCACACTTACACCACAGAAGTCCTTGAGCCCCTCTGAATGCATGCTGACTGCTGACATCCCAGCAGCGGGCTGTGAGGCATGGCGTAGCTTTCTGAATCTGGCCTCTGGAAAGACTGGATCCGAATGCTGCAGGATAGGGGCTGTGGCAGAGGGGAGCAGTGAGTCCTAAATCATGAGCCGAGAAGCCATAGCCTCTGCGGGTAAACCTCCCACAATGCCATGTGTCAGGACCCTTGCCAGGGAAGTCCCCAGTGTAGGACATTCAGGGCGGCACTGGAACTTTCTAGCCCAGAGGCAGCCCCGCAGAGGGGAGCGTGAAGCAAACTCAGGCGGCTCTGATGTCATGCAGTCTTCAGCATGGTTTGTCCTCTTGCTGATTAAAACCCCCACATTGCTGGGAATCCTGGGCTGGTTCTGTGGGGACCGAGTGCCTGAGTAGGATCCAAACGGGCAGGAATGGCCAGTCCTGCCCAGTTAACCTCTCAGTGGGCTTTCCCAGTGTAGCCTGGGGCTACGGCTCAGGCGGGCCCTGCTGGCAAGAGAAATGGCTGTAGACACCCCTGCCTTTCAGGGCTGCTGAGAGGCTGGTGGAGGAGAGGTGCGCTGAACCCCCAGGTCCTTTCTGGAACCTGGTGTCTCTTTGTTGGAAGAGGCATTACTCGGACTGAAGCTGCTAATGCTGCTCAGCTCCTGGGCTGCCTCCTGCATCTTGGCTGTGACCACAACCTGGGAGTGCACAGAGGAGGGCTGAGAATGGGGTGGGCGTACGGAGGTGCCTCCATGTGCAGCATGAAGAGGCAGTACCTCTTGCCTCACACCCCGACCATCGCCCAGCCGCCTAGGATCACGTGTCTCTGGAAGCAGCCGCATTGGGTCTTGTTCCTGCCTCAGTGCAAAGGGATCTCTGCACCCCCAATAGGGGGCATTCACCAAAGGATGTGCTCTGACTCACTAGAGCTGACTAGTTGTAAAAACTGTGCTTTGTTGAAGAGTTTTATCAGCTTATAAATCCTTCTAGAGTCTACTGGAAAGTTTTCTTGTGGAGATCATGTAAACAAGGTCTTGAGGCCTACAAAGCAGAAAAGACTTCCTTTTATGGGCAGCACTGGAGGGGCTGTGACTCTGGGATGGTTTGAGACCGGCATTACGTGGCTTGTTCAGGCTGATGTCACTTGTGTCACTCCCCTCCTGGTGGCACCTCCTCAGCCCTGGGCCCCAGGGACACAGAGCCAGGACACACCACATGTTCTTGGCCCTGGCTGCGCTTCTGCTTGGATATTTCAGCTGAGAGGAAATCGCAGCTAAGCCATAGAGAGGGATTTCGTGTGTTTCTGGCCCTCTTTACTTACTAAGAAAAAGGGGTCCTTTTTCTTAGGAAATAATGGAGGTATGGGAGGCCAGGACTGTCTGCCATGGGAACTGAGGCAGGAGCTGCCCGTTTATCATTGTAAATCCCCCCCACACCTGTGACTGAGAGGGGACAGTCTCCTGGAAGGATCATGGTCTCTCTTATTTAGGTTGAAAAAAAATGCCATTTTCTGAGTTTGGTGGTGTTCAAAGTGTAGCTATACTGCTTAACAGAGAAACATCCCAGCTCTACCCTTGCTGGTTTGTAATCTTGGACAAAGTACTTAAATCTCTTGGTGCTTCCACTTCCTCATCACAAAATACACCTGCCTGTCAGAGTTGTGAGGATAAAGCAGTTCATACATAAAACCTGGGCTCTCGCCCCTTGGAACTTGCCCTGGGGCCACACGGAAGCAGATGGTCTGTCTGCCAGCCGGACAGAGGCTGGAAGCCATGTGGGGTGCTTTGCTCTTCCTAGGTATAGGAAGTTCCATTTGGCGATTGTCATTGAAAAGCATCTCTTTATCCAAAAGTTTTAAAACAAAACAGAGGATAGAATTTTCTGGCCAGCATGGAAATGGAAGGGACGAAGGCACTCCGGTTTCAGACTCACATGAGAGAGGGCAGCTGGCCCATCCCTTCTCGGAGCCTCTGCACCCTCCGGCCAGCCCGGATGTCTACTTGGTCACCCTTCTTTTTATTGCAAAGGTCTCCTTAGCTGGCTCCCCGCATTCTGGGTTAGTAAGAAGCGCTCCTTCCTCCTTCTGCAGCCACCGCGTGCCCTGTCGAGGCCCGGGCCATCCTGGAACAGGGCAGCTGGCTCTCTCGGCAGCAGTCCTCCTTCCCAGGCCCTCCCCCTCGGGTTCTCCACCAGGAGGACTCCTGTGGCCCACGTGATTCTGGGCGCTTCACAGAGGTTTACAGCCCAAGTGCCATCCTGGCCCAGCTGATGAGAAGCAGGCACAGCGTGGACTTCCCACCGTGCCCTCTGCCTGTCCCTTGCCTGAAAGGTGACTCTTGCACAGGGCTGCCCCTCACTGGCTTGCAGGGATCTGGATTCATGTCTTCTTTGGGACTCTTAGGCATCTTAGCTCAGCCTGGATCACAGGCCGGGCTCTGCCACTGTGTGGCCGCTGCAGCCTCAGCCCCCAGTGCCAGGTGGGGACGGCAGACTTGGAGTGTGCACTCCTGTCCTGCAGCTGTGCCAGCTCACCCCGCCTGGGCCTCGGGTTCTCTGCCAGCGGTCCCCTGCCACCAGGAGGGAGCTTATAAATAGCATAGGTGGGATTAAAGGAGAGACTGCTGTAGGGAAAGCTGCCATCACTCCTCAGTCTTAGCAACAAACCAGGGGTTTCCTGTATTCTAATTCCAGATATGTTTATTCAGTGGCTACAAGAGATGCTTCAAATACAAAGGTGGTTTGCTGTTTGTTTTTTTCATTTCTTAGCACTGTCATTGTAAATAATACCTGTAATGATGGACTCTGTGTAACCCCAGATCTGCCCTTCTCAGGAAATGAGGGTTTGGGTTCATATGGTGGAGGGTCCTGGATCCTGGATAAAGTGATGAGACATAAGACAGGAGGTGCTGGCAGCTCTTTGGGCCACCAAGACAAAAAGCTAGAGGCTCCCAGAGGCAGCAGCAGAACCCCTTCCAACCCTCATGGCACCCGTTAGGAGGGGAAAGCCAGCCAGGGGCCGGGAGGCCGCCTGGCTGTGGGCCCCTTCCCGGCGGGGCCCACCTCCGTCTGTCTTCCCCCAGGTTTGAGCTGATGCGCATGTGCTGGCAGTACAACCCCCGGATGAGGCCTTCCTTCTTGGAGATCATCGGCAGCATCAAGGACGAGATGGAGCCCGGCTTCCGGGAGGTTTCCTTCTACTACAGCGAGGAGAACAAGCCACCCGAACCGGAGGAGCTGGAGCTGGACCTGGAGCCGGAGAACATGGAGAGCGTCCCCCTGGACCCTTCCGCCTCCTCGTCCTCCCTGCCGCTGCCTGACAGACTCTCGGGACACAAGGCCGAGAACGGCCCAGGCCCTGGAGTGCTGGTGCTCCGCGCCAGCTTCGATGAGAGGCAGCCTTACGCGCACATGAATGGGGGACGCAAGAACGAGAGGGCCTTGCCTCTGCCCCAGTCTTCGACCTGCTGATCCTCGGATCCTGAATCCCGTGCAAACAGTAACGTGTGCGCACGCTCGGCGGCGGGTGGGGGGGAGAGAGTTTTAACAATCTATTCACAGCCTCCTGTACCTCAGTGGATCTTCAGAACTGCCATTGCTGCCCACGGGAGACGGCTTCTCTGCAGTAAACACATTTGGGATGTTCCTTTTTCAATATGCAAGCAGCTTTTTATTTCCCTACCCAAACCCTTAACTGACACGGGCCTTTAAGAACCTTAATGACAACACTTAATAGCAACAGAACACTTCAGAATCGAGTCTCCTCACTCTCTTTCATCTCTCTCTCTCTCTCCTTTCTCTTTCCGCTTCATAATGGAAAAATATTTGCCGCCAGCTAAGCTGAGACATCCGTTTGACCAGACTGAGGAAATGGTTGTCCCTCCCCGTGGCCCCACAGTGCCCCTGTACACACCTGCCTGACACCATAGGTCTTTATAAAAATCATGTTGAGATGGAACTTTTTAATTGTATCTTTAACCTTTTTAGGGACACAAGTAATTTAAAAAGGGCCATCATTCACCCAAGGTTGTCACCATTTTATCGCTGCCAAATTCTACCAAAACGCTGAAGTTTCTCCCTCACAATCCTTGCACTTACTTTCTTGTTCCCAGAGGCACGGGGCGCGTGTGCTATCTAGTCACTCCGTTGAAGAGCCTCGTTGGTGATGCACTCCATCCCATCATCCCCTGGCGTTCTCTTCGGGTGTCATGTTCACACAGGTCCTACTGCTTTTGACTAGGCTATTACTGGGGGAACTGGACAGAATGGGATTTCTCTTGGTGAAGATGGGGAGAAGCCGAACTGGCTTCCCTGGCCCACTTCCCTACCCCTACTCTTATCCCCACAGGAATTCTGGAGAAAACAGGCCCTGTCGAGAACCTGGAAGACAGGCTTTGGGTAAAGGTTTTCCATGTGCCAGTCTCCTGTCCCTGCTCCCAGCCCGCCAAGACACAGATGGGAAGGGGTTTCCAGGGACTCAGCCCAACTGTTTATGCAGGTTTGCAAGGGAAGAAATTCAAACACCACACAAAACAGTAAGAAGAAAAGCAGTAAATGAATTCAAGCATTCTAAGCTTTGTTGACATTTCCTCTGTTACTAGGACTTCTTCATGGGTCTTACAGTTCTATGTTAGACCATGAAACATTTGCATACACATCGTCTTTAATGTCACTTTTATAACTTTTTTACGGTTCAGATATTCATCTATACGTCTGTACAGAAAAAAAAAGCTGCTATTTTTTTTGTTCTTTATCTTTGTGGATTTAATCTATGAAAACCTTCAGGTCTACCCTGCTTCCCTTTCTGCTCACTCCAAAAAACTTCTTATGCTTTGTACTAGAGTGCGTGACTTTCTTTCACTTTTTCCGGTAATTGATATTTATCGAACATAATTTGCCATGAACTGTTTGATGCCTTTTTATACATACACACCCCTCCCCCCGCCCTGTTAGCTGTGTTCTAATCCATAGGCTCTGTGGGCACGAGGCTGGTGAGGGAAGGAGACGGAAAGAGGGATGTTACGGCGCAAGACACGATACAAACTCAGGTCAGAAAAAAAGGTTAAATATTTCGTACATCCTTGTTCAGTGTTTATGTGCACCATTGTTGAGAATTCTCACCTTCTCTTTCCCTGCCTTTGTTTTGGTTGTGACACACATATATCTATTTTTTTAATTCTTGGGTACAACAGCAGTTTTAACTGCAGACAGTAGGCATTTGGATTACCTTATTTTTTTTAATGGCTATTTAATCCTTCCATCCCTTGAAAAACAGCTGCTGAGTCCCTGGGTGCAGCAGGCTGCAGTCTCCTCGGTGGCCTTCTGCCACCACCCTCCAGTCTGACCTGTCTTTAGAACCAGAAAACGCGCAGGGACTTGGCTGGTACTGGCAGGGAGGGGCACAGGGGCAGCACCCACAGGGCAATGGCCAGCCCCCTGCCAGTCTGCAGCTGGGGGGTCAACAGCAAGGAGCAGGGCCCTGACACGGACGTGCATTTCCGTGGCCAGGAACCCAAGTCCTCGGGCCCAGGGGTCTTGTTTAGTTCTTTGTACTTCTCACCACAGTGACGACAGCTCAAGAGAGGCTCCTAGGGTGGGAATGTGTAAGTTATGAGTAAGAACAAAGCTAGAATATGATGACCGCTAGTTGTGACTGGAGATTAAACATAAAAAGGAAAGTTTGTAGTGCTTTTGCTTGTCAGTAGTTTGGGTCCCACTATTTTCTCTAGCCTGTGTCCCATTGTTTTTCCCTTTTAAAAAATGAGAAAAAGAAAAAAGTGAATTCAGAAGGTATTATATGTAGGAGTTTTCTTTTAATTTATTTTGTGATACCAGTTTCAATCACTGTAGAGAGGCCCCATTATGAATTTAAATACTGAGAAAAGGGTTTTTTTTTGTGTGTGTATGTGTGTGTGTGTAAGACAGGACAGTTTTGGGTTTAGTTTTTTTTTTCAAACATTTATCTACCTCACTCTTATTTTTTATATGTGTATATATATATATAAAAGAATACATCTCACATTTCTCAGCACCTGACAGTATGCCGTTGATCCTGGTAACCTCATCCACACCACAGGCCGCACACACCAGGTGACGCAGGGAGAGGCCAGGCTGTGCTCCAGGGTTGAAGCAACACTAACTCACCTCCACTCATGTCAAACAGCTAGCCTTTTTCTGAGATGTCATGTTTTGTGTTGCTTTTGTTCTTCTAACCAGGTTTCCTAAGAGGTTGTGAAATGTTAAGGCTTTCCTCCTGCCAGCCCAGTGCCCCCTGCACTTGGCCACGAGGCGAGGAGAGCCCCAGAGCCGAGGCAGGGAGGCCACCTGGCTCTCCTTGGCTGCTGGGCTTTGAAACAAATGACTCTGTGCAGACTGAATGGTGAATGGATGCTGTGATTGGAAGAGCAGTCTCCCAGGCTTTGAGGACAGGAAATGCTGAGGGGGACAGTCTCTGTCAGACCCCTCCTCCTGTAAATGTGGGTGTCTGGGTTTGCTCCATTCAGCGCACACTGCGGCCCCCAAATCGGCCTGCTCAATTCAGCCGCACAGACCAGCAGCTACCGGGAGTGGCGTCCTGCAGGCCTAAAGCCAGAGCGCGCACAGGCTCCTGACCCCCAGCTAGTCCCATAGAGAATGTACGGAGGAGAAGAGCCCCCTCCTTCCTCTCCAGACCGTCCCTTGACTTGCCCCTCCACTCTTTCTCCCCCAGGGGAACACAGACCAAACCCTCAGGCTGGAAGGGGCCGGTGGTCAGCACCCAGCCTCTTTCTGGGGTGTTGTGCCTGTGCCCCCCCATCCCGCTGCTCACAGGGCCAGACAGCGCCTCCCTGCCTCCAGCAGCTGCTCTTATAGGCGCTGGTGATTCTGTCTGGGAGACATGGCAGGGGTTTTCCCAAAGTGGGGCAGGCTCCTTCAGCTCCAGTACTGCAGTTAAGCTCAGGGGCGTTTTCCTTCCTGCGAGAACACTACTCATCTATCCCAAGTCCCCTGGGATCCTGAGCTCATTGGGAAATACTGCTGATCAGGGCTTTCTTCTTCTACACTGGAGGTGACCCCTTGGGATAGTGGCCTCTCCTCTTTGCACATACCTACCGGTTTCCACAACTGGATTTCTACAGATCATTCAGCTGGTTATAGGGTTTGTTTAAACTGTCCAAGTTGTCGGTGTCCTTTCGTTTTTGTTTTATGTAGGTGGCTTTTCTTTAGGTAGAAAGAAAACACTAATAGCGTAGTGCCCATCATAACAAATGCTTCAGAAACACTTAAATAAAAGAGAAAATTTTGCTTGGGCAATGGTGCAGTCATTTTGCTGGACCAAACCACCCACCTCCACCCTACCAAGGCATCACGTATCACAGTTCCAGCCTCGTTTTATGCTGAATTCCCCCTCTTCTTGATTCCTCTCTTTCATATGCTCCAAATAATTTAACCAAGCTGAGTTATGGCATTTTCCATGCAACCTCTTTCTGACAGCAGCTCACACTGCTTGAAGTAACATGAACCACTGAGGCACATCATTGAATTGATGTGAGCATTAAACATTATCACACACAGCCCTTCCCTGAGGCAGCAGGAGCTGGAATATTCCGGAGACACTGAACTTCAGCTGTGTGAGACCCAGACCACCCCACGTCTCCCTTATGGGGTACCATGACGTTTGACACACAGTTGGAATGAGCTCCCTCCTTGGAAGATAGAAGACCGTGTTCACAGCCAACACTGGCCTCTCCTTCCAGCCTGTTTCTTATGACTTGGAACATTTCCATGGTAGGAAAGTGGTTATTGTGGAACTACCCAGTGGCAAAATGCTTGGCACGAAGTGGTGTGTTTTGGTTGGGAAAGCAGATTTACGCGCCAAGTATGATGCCAAATTCGAGGCCAGTTTGTTCTCCTGAAGCCTTTTTCTCAGCAGCCCACCTGTGTGGGCAGGTGGCCGTCCGTGATGCAGGTTCCTGTTGTGGCAAGGTCACACTAGCTCAGATCAGTGAGGAGGCTAGGATGCTGGTCCAAGGTCCTCCACTGTCACTGTTGGGTCCTCCCAGGGCGGTCAATGTCAAGGGCAACTCCTTTCCAAAACAGGCTCCCTCCAGGTGACAGTAATGCTCCGTGGTATGCCTTGGCCCATTCCAGCCGCCCCAGTAATGCATTTAAGGTTTGGGGTTTGTCCTTTTGTTAATGTTACTTCTGTGTTCGTTGGTTGTTTTTTCATTTCCTGGGCTAAGCAGCATTGGGAGATATGGACCAGAGATCTACTCTTTAAGAACCAGTGATGAAAGCCAACCTTAGACCACTCTGACGGAGTTGGTGGTACAAAGGAGAACTTCAAGAGAGGATGTTGTTTAGATTGAACCTCTGTTGCCAGAGATGCTGAAGATACAGACCGTGGACAGGCCAGAGGGTTTCATTTTTGTCCTCCAGCTTAGATGACTAGTTGGTCATTTAGAGAAAAGCAGATGAACACTCCTTGAAGGTGGAATGATCAGGCAGCAGGAAACCCTGTCACGAGGCTCGTGACATGACATGAAGAGAAGAATTATGAGCGGAGGGATTCAGGGCTCGGAAGAAGTATGGGCCATGCTTTGAACTTGATGGTTTCTGAAGGTATCAGACCACATCAAGGCTCAGCAGTCATCCATGGGCATTTGGTGTCAACAAATAAACCTAACATCCTACTTTGAAAACTGTTATTGAGGAGTTAAGTCAAATTGTTCAAGAACATGAACTGCACTGTCAGTTGTCAGTTCTGGGGCATGACTTTAGGGTTTTGTTTAATTTTGTTGATGCAAGAACATAATGATCACTCATCTGTACGTCCACGTTTGTGTGCGTCCACTTCTTTCTGGTAAACATTGTTTTAATTAGTCACTCATTAGCGTTTTCAATAGGGCTCTTCAGTCCAGTAGATTACGGGTAGTCAGTTGACGAAGATCTGGTTTACAAGAACTAATTAAATGTTTCATTGCATTTTTGTAAGAACATAGAATAATTTTATAAAATGTTTGTAGTTTATAATTGAAAAAAATAATTTAAAGACACTTTTTTTCTCTGTGTGTGCAAATGTGTGTTTGTGACCCATTTTTTTCAGGACACCTGTTTACTAGCTAGCTTTACAATATGCCAAAAAAAGGATTTCTCCCTGACCCACGCCGTGGTTCACCCTTCCCCCCAGCCCTTGCTTTGTGCCCTAGTTTATAAAAAAGGAATGATGATGATTTAAGAAGCAGTTCTGTATCTTCAGTATCTTGGTCTTCCAGAACCCTCTGGTTGGGAAGGGGATCATCTTTTACTGGTCATTTCCCTTTGGCGTGTAGCTATTTTAACAGACTGAAAGAACCTCATTGGCCAAGGAAACAGCAGAGGTGTTGCGGCCCAGAAGTGCACATGGCACTACTGAGCATCTGCTTTGAGTGGTTTGGGTTTTACAGTTCTGCAATGCCTAGACATGGGAGGATTTGATTGCACAGCTAATGCCTTTCCCTGTGGTCACCGCACACAGACTTCTCATGCTACAGATGACAGTTCTGGTGTGTGTGGGCCGTTTGCTTACATCCCTCATATAGCAGGATTAATGCTTTGTTGTAACAGGGAAGAAACCCTGTTTATTTTTATTAAGGCAGAACACCGAAGATACAATTTTCCAGTCCAAAACAAGTCCTTTTTAATAAAAATTACATGCTATTTTTGTTAAGTTTGACTCCATTTCCTCTAGCTCCCAATGGATTATTGGCTGTGTCTATGCTACTCCACAAAATCCCCCTTGCTGGAAACATCTGGGTGTTTTGCACTACATTGGAGAAAGGTCCAGAAACAATTTGTTTTTTGTTTTCAACTTTTCATTCAGAGGTTTGGCGTTGCATAGACACAGATGCAGGTGGAATAGATGCTTGGCAAAAACACCTGTCTGCTTTCTAAGCCAGTGAGGTTGTGCGAAGTTTGCCAGAGTCTGTCTACCTCTGGGACAAAAAAAAAAAAAAAAAAAAAAAAAATCAAACCAGAAGGCGTGATGGAATGGATGCATCGAAAATAATGCATTTTCTGAGTTTTCTTGTTTAAAAAGTTTTTTAAAAAAGTAAAAAAAAAAAAAGTAAGAACATGGCCAATTTGTTACATAAAATGACTTTCTGTGTATAAATTATTCCTAAAAAAATTCCTCTGTTTATATAAAAAAATCAGTAGATGAAAAAAATTTCAAAATGTTTTTGTATATTCTGTTGTAAGAATTTATTCCTGTTATTGCGATATACTATGGATTCTTTACATTATGGGGAAAAAAAGAAACTTTGTCTATTTTGAATGGCTGAAGCTAAGGCAACTTTAGTTTCTCTTACTCTGCTTTTTTCTAGTAGTTAAAAGTACACATGGTTTAAGTTAAATAAAAGAATTCTGTATGCATTTTGGGCTCTGATTTTGTGCCACCATCACCCCCACCATCCCCTGCAAGAATCACCACGCTTCTGAGGCATGGAAGCTAAACTATGTGTGGCATGCGTGTTCACACATGTCACTTGGAGGTGTTCTGTGTGAAGGCTTTACTTCTGACAGCTGAACCTTCTCAGAATGCAAACTGCTGGTTGAAGACAGGGAAGCTATTCTGTTTCTCACTCCATTAAATCAGCAAGAAGAAAATCTGAATATATAAAATACAGAAATCTGCACTTCATTTTTGACTGATGTGTAGACTTTTCCTATACCTTCAACTGACAAAAGGCAGGCCAAGACAGGTTTGGTCTGGGTGACTCTGCAACAAAGGACTTAAACTCCTCACATTCTCACGTCGGTGGTATCTCACAGCCAGTATACCTCCTCAGAGGATGCAGGTGGGAACCAAGCAAGCACAGAATGCGGGCTCACTGGAGGCACTCAAAACCATTAGTCACTTTCTAGCTGATGGTCTTGGCCTGCCCCAAGGACTCTACAGTCCAGGCATCATATTTGCCAGGTGAGATGGGTTTGGTAGGAAATGTGAATCTGTGTTCAAAGGAAACAAGCTAGAAATGTGCTAGAATCAGACCAGAAATGTATGGACATCAAGAGGACAAGCTGATCATCTCACTCAATGCTCCTCGTGGGGGATTCTACTCCATTAACAAAGGCCGATGCATAAAGGGATGAATAGCAAGGTGTGGGCAGAAGTTAATCGAAGGCCATGGATATTTAAGATCTGGGCACTCTCACAAGTATGAACACAGATGGTCTCTCTAAAAGGGGGGCTCTCCCAAGCTTGGGGTTGCCCCAGGGTTCTGCTCACTGTTGTCACAGAGTGGCTGTCATTAGGTGACTGATGATAAAGGCAGGCTCATCCCCAAGGCTTGGACGAGTGTCTGGGCTGCTGGTGGGGTGGGCACGGGCTCCCCCACATTCCTGGGTGGGTTGATGCCACATGTCCAGGTTGCCACAGTGCATTCACTTGTCCTCAGCCTGAGGAAGCAACAGGTTCTCAGGATGAAGGTGCTGGGTCTTCAGCAGTGTGAGACCCCCTCTGTACTGAGCAACTTCTTAAGACCACAGAGCCGGCAGAGCTCTTTCTGTGTGTATCCTCACAGGTCCAGCAATGAGCCTAAGCTCAATAAGGTGTGTGTTTTCACAGTGTGCACGCATCACTGATGGACTCGCACATCCATTCTCTTGCGTGCTCACGGCTCTACAAAAGGATTACTCTTTTACAGATGAGCAAGCAGGAGGACATGCCTAAGACCCCCAGCTGTTAAATGACCAGCCCAGTGCCCAGCCTTTTTAAGCAGTGTCAGCTTTCAAACTGACTCAGAACTGCCACATACCAGCCATGACTAAGCTGGCCCCGGTGTGTATCAACAGGAGCTAGCAGGCCACTTAGACCAGGATATGACTAGGCCTTTTACAGTTCTCCCTAAAAAATTTGAGAGGTAATAGAGGGGCAGAAGATGGGGACATTCAACAGGAGGGAGCTCTAGGGTCCTCCCAACTGGGTGACATCTAAAAATTTGTAAGATATGTAAAGCTTGGCACCAAGCAGTCTAACAGTGAAGCAGGGTCCCACAGGCCTGCTGCTTACCACCAGCCTAAGACAGGAGCTGCTGTAATGGGAGCAGTGTTCAGGGAACAGGTGTCTGCCTACAAGTACAGAAGGATCTGGACATTAACAGCCCCACACCTGGACCTATGCATGCTGCCTAAAGCATCCCACCCAGCTTGCAGGCTTTGTTCTGCTATAGTGTGACTTTTATCTGTTTCATATCAAACCAATTGGTTTCATTTGCAGAGGGTCCTGTACAGTCTATTCCAAACACACAAGTATGCAAGCACTAACAGTGAAACAAGGCCTGTGCAGGTCCTTTGTTATTAAGTTGCAAATGCTTTTTCTTATGGTGAATGAATCTACGCATTAAGTGAAGATGATTTTTTAAACATAATTAAGTGAAAAAAAGGTGGGAACCAAGCAAGCACAGAATGCGGGCTCACTGGAGGCACTCAAAACCATTAGTCACTTTCTAGCTGATGGTCTTGGCCTGCCCCAAGGACTCTACAGTCCAGGCATCATATTTGCCAGGTGAGATGGGTTTGGTAGGAAATGTGAATCTGTGTTCAAAGGAAACAAGCTAGAAATGTGCTAGAATCAGACCAGAAATGTATGGACATCAAGAGGACAAGCTGATCATCTCACTCAATGCTCCTCGTGGGGGATTCTACTCCATTAACAAAGGCCGATGCATAAAGGGATGAATAGCAAGGTGTGGGCAGAAGTTAATCGAAGGCCATGGATATTTAAGATCTGGGCACTCTCACAAGTATGAACACAGATGGTCTCTCTAAAAGGGGGGCTCTCCCAAGCTTGGGGTTGCCCCAGGGTTCTGCTCACTGTTGTCACAGAGTGGCTGTCATTAGGTGACTGATGATAAAGGCAGGCTCATCCCCAAGGCTTGGACGAGTGTCTGGGCTGCTGGTGGGGTGGGCACGGGCTCCCCCACATTCCTGGGTGGGTTGATGCCACATGTCCAGGTTGCCACAGTGCATTCACTTGTCCTCAGCCTGAGGAAGCAACAGGTTCTCAGGATGAAGGTGCTGGGTCTTCAGCAGTGTGAGACCCCCTCTGTACTGAGCAACTTCTTAAGACCACAGAGCCGGCAGAGCTCTTTCTGTGTGTATCCTCACAGGTCCAGCAATGAGCCTAAGCTCAATAAGGTGTGTGTTTTCACAGTGTGCACGCATCACTGATGGACTCGCACATCCATTCTCTTGCGTGCTCACGGCTCTACAAAAGGATTACTCTTTTACAGATGAGCAAGCAGGAGGACATGCCTAAGACCCCCAGCTGTTAAATGACCAGCCCAGTGCCCAGCCTTTTTAAGCAGTGTCAGCTTTCAAACTGACTCAGAACTGCCACATACCAGCCATGACTAAGCTGGCCCCGGTGTGTATCAACAGGAGCTAGCAGGCCACTTAGACCAGGATATGACTAGGCCTTTTACAGTTCTCCCTAAAAAATTTGAGAGGTAATAGAGGGGCAGAAGATGGGGACATTCAACAGGAGGGAGCTCTAGGGTCCTCCCAACTGGGTGACATCTAAAAATTTGTAAGATATGTAAAGCTTGGCACCAAGCAGTCTAACAGTGAAGCAGGGTCCCACAGGCCTGCTGCTTACCACCAGCCTAAGACAGGAGCTGCTGTAATGGGAGCAGTGTTCAGGGAACAGGTGTCTGCCTACAAGTACAGAAGGATCTGGACATTAACAGCCCCACACCTGGACCTATGCATGCTGCCTAAAGCATCCCACCCAGCTTGCAGGCTTTGTTCTGCTATAGTGTGACTTTTATCTGTTTCATATCAAACCAATTGGTTTCATTTGCAGAGGGTCCTGTACAGTCTATTCCAAACACACAAGTATGCAAGCACTAACAGTGAAACAAGGCCTGTGCAGGTCCTTTGTTATTAAGTTGCAAATGCTTTTTCTTATGGTGAATGAATCTACGCATTAAGTGAAGATGATTTTTTAAACATAATTAAGTGAAAAATGAGCTATGTGCCACAAAAATATAGCAAGAAATTTCCCAGAGCATAGCCATCTTCAACCCCTTCCTCCAAAAAACAATGTTGCTAATGGGCCTCCCAATGGGTATTTGTCCCTAGAAAACACTGGCCACATAAAACCTTGCTGTAAGCCGCTGGATACAAGACCCAGTCAATGTCATAAAGGCAAAATGAAAGATGAAAGGGGGAGGGTCTGTTTAGAAAAAACCAGGGGTCATACTGACCATGGCAGAGAAGCTAAAGTGGCCATCAGCCTTTGCTTTAAGACAAATGCTACTAGTAGGAATTAAAATGGTACAGCTTCTAGGGAAAACAGCATGGCAGTTCCTCAAAAAAACAGTTACCTATGATCCAGCAACTCCATTTATAGTATATACACAGAACTGAAATGGAATCTAACAGATAGCTGCACACTGGTGTTCACAGGAGGTCTGTTCACAATAACCAAAAGGCGGAAGCAACCCAGTGTCCATCAGAAGATGGATAAACACAAGGTGGTTATACATGCAATGGAATATTATTCGGCCTTTCAAAGGAAGGAAAATTTGATGCATGATACATGGATGAACTCTGAGGACATTATGCTGAGTGAAATCAGTCACAAATAGATATATGTATTATGATTCCACTTATATGAGGTCCCAAGAACAGTCACATTCAGAGACGGAGGGCAGAATAACAGTTGCCAAGGGCTGGGGGGAGCGGGGAGGAGGAGTTACTGCTGAATGGGTTGTTTCCCTTTGGGATGATGAGAAAGTCCTAGAGATGCGTGGTGGTGATGGTTGCACAAGTGAATGTCCGTAACACCACTGAACATTTGAAAATGGTTTAAATGCTAAGTTTTATGGGTACTGAGCATAATTTTTTTTTAAGTAGAAAAAGAAAACCCAAACATTAGAGACTCAGTGGCTCAGAAGGGCCCACAGCACCAGGCTGCGCAGGCTGGGAGGCCAGAAGTCAAGTACCCCAGTAGCAGCTGCGCCTGTGTTCCCCGTGGCCAGCTGGTCACATGGGCTCTGCAGGACAGGTCTGTGGTCCCAGAAGTCTGGGCAGGCTCACACAGGCCCACTGAAAGTCTTTTAAGAGAAGAAAAAAAAAATTTACTGTGATTTCATTTTATTGTCATGAAAACCATAACCGAAGCTAGTTAATCCCTTGTGAAATGTCTGCCTTTCAGAGCATTCCTCTTTTTGCTGACAATAAAAAACCCTTTGAGATTTCGTTGGGCTAATTCAGAATTTTTCCCCTTTGTGTAAACTGATTTATAAGCAATTTTTAAAGTCTTCCAAAGCACAGTTGAACTCTGCACACAAAATTGAAACATGTAATTTTCTCTAAAGGAGCAACCCCCTATGTGGTTCCTCTTGACTGGAAGCACTGGGGCTGAGTGTTCTGTGATCCAGGCTTTCAGCTTGGGCTGCCTCCCTCTCCACCAGCATTTCTCGAATGATGACCTGCAGGGCTTTTCCTAGCAGGCTGGCGGGGAGCCAACGCGATAACGCAGGGATGTGGATGAGCGCTGCGCACCCATTTCCGTGATGCAAAGACAGGTAGTAGGTGTAATCACAGACATATCTGCAACCACACAATATGCCGCGTTGTTACTCCCGGGACCAGCCTCTGACCCAGCAGAAGGGGCAATGCAGCATCCCCACAGCATGAGGGAGGCCTGCTGCCAGGGGAGAGGGAGGTGGAGAAGCAGGAAGAAATGGGAATGAGCTGGGATTCCCCCAACTCCAATCCTCCCTGTCCCATGACCCCCAAATGGTTGAACTGGGGAACGGACCACATTTTCAACTGGGTCCAAAACACCTTTACCCCCGTGACCACCAGCCATGCCGCCTTCTCCACCTGCCTGTGACCCGACACCCCGAGGACATACATACCTGCCTGCGTCTCGGGAAAAGGTCACCTCGGTGCCCTCCACATTCACCCGCCTGCAGACCGCCTTCATGCTGACCTCCGACGTGATCACTTCCGGGCCATCCGGAAGGCATGCGCCGCCCTCCGGCCGGAAGCCCCGGATGTCCGCATCCCGATAACCCCGGTTCTTGCCGCATTGTTCCAGAAAGATGGCCTTGGCGGAGGCATCCATGCCTATGTGCACAGTGAGCTGTCCGAACACACGTAGCGGTAGAGAGATTTGGGAAACCAAGGCCTGCCCTGCTCATAAGATGTCGCAGAAGGCCCAGCCGAGGGACTGGAGGGTGCAGAACATCCCAAACCCCAGATCGGCCACACAACCCCGGGGGATTCCCTGCCTACTTCTGCTAATTAATGTACTGGATCAAAACAGCTGGCTGGAAACCCATGTGGCATTTAATTTAAATACTTTTATATTTCAAAATATCTTACAAGCTAGTGTATTCCCTTTTGTCCCTGGGGATCCAGCTGATGTCTAAGGCAACCAGAGGAGAAGCGTCACATTTCTGTGGGCTCTTCCATCTCTTTATGAGACTCTAGTAGAGGAAGCTAGTCACAGTGTAAAAAAATGTTGGAAGTTTTAGAGCTGATTAGTTTTCCTCTTTGAAGAGATAGCTGCTGTTTAATCAAAACATCTGGGGTGTTGTCAACTGATTGACGGTGTGTTTTGTTAATTTCATCATCTGGTCTTCCTATTTTTTTGGATAATTCCGTCAGTTTTTTATGTAGTAACTATTTCCATAAAATAGGCTGGGCGTGGTGGGACGTCCCCAGAGGGGCCTGTCTTCCACCTGCCAGTGTGAGCCACCCTCCGACTGTGCTCCTGAGCCCAAAATGCCCTTGCCTCATGTCCCACCTTACAGCTAACCTTCCCTGCATGGGCATGGCTGAAACCGAATCCAGTGGCCTCTGTGTTAGCTGGAAACTATCTTTGAAAAGTCCTGGCTAGGAATAAACCTTACATTTCTTTTCCTCCTTCTCTGTCTCCAGAATCTTTTTCCAAGATCTACTCTGTATTTCAGTTTAAACTTAACAAACAGACTGAACCCTACAAAATCAGCTCGGACCTTACTGGTGGGATATGGGGGCAGGGTGCACCTCAGCCATCAACCCTAGAACAGGGGTTCACAGGCTCTGGGGCTTCACCACATTGTCCACTGCCGCATACCCCCACCCAGCCCCACAGTCTCCCCAGCTGTCATTTACTTGTGGCTGAAGATCTTCCCAGATTCTGGTGACCCTCTGTTTCACCTCCCTGTAATCCACGGGCAGCTGAAGAATTTTCAGCTCCACCTCAGCGTCACTCCCCAGGCCCAGCTTGGAGAGTTCCTGCAGAAAGAAGCAAGCAGACTCACTTCACTTGATGGAGAGCCAGGGGGTGTCCCTGAAAAGCCAATATTTGGGGTCACCCTTTCCACTTCCAAGGGCCTTCTGTGGTCCTGGACCATGCCCTCAAGAAGCCCACATGGTGGCAGGGGCCAGCAGGAGAATCAGCGTTCCTGCCCTGTGAGGTCCCGCAAAGCCTCTCCCATTGAGCTGCAGGCACCCTGGGGCATGTCTGACCCAGCCTGCAGGTGAGGACATAGTTTGCAGAGGGGATACAAGTGAATCATAGGGGATGCAAGGGGGCGAGCCAGATGAGGAAATGGGAAGGGTGTGCCCAGCAGAGGGAGCTGCAGAAGCACAGGCAGAGGCACAGGAGCCCAAGAGCCTGGGGCCTTTGGGAAACACGGTGTGACTTGGCCCTCTCAGAGGACTGGGAGCCTTCTTCCGTGGGTCCTACCCTTCCAAGGACAGGATGGCGGCACTCCAGACTCTGATCTGAGCATTAACTGCCTGTGGCACCCCCGGACATTTTGATGAGTAAGCCAGCACCACCGATGGTGTAGCAGGGAGCACTGCACCGGTGAAGGACAGTAAGGAAGCTAGAAAAGTCTGTGGGTGCCCAGCGGAGCACTTAGCTGGAGGCGGGATTCTCTCCAGGGCATTAGGGAGCCAGCAAAGGGCTGTGCACCAGTTGCTAACGGGTCACAGTTGCCACCTAAGAAGATGGAGGAGGTGAAGGTGGGCTGGGGGTACCATGAGGCTGGTTTTGGACCTGCCAAATGTGAAGTACCCAAGGGCAGTTGGTCCTCAGCTCTGTTTGTATGGAGTTCGCAGAGGCTTTTGAGGAGACACTGGCATGTCGGGGCAGCAAAAGCCACGGGTTTACCAAAATATGGAAGCAACCTAAATGTCCATCAGTAGATGAATGGATAAAGAAGATGTGGTACATATACACAATGGAATATTACTCAGCCATAAGAAAAAAACAAATCCTACCATTCGCAACAACATGGATGGAGCTAGAGGGTATTATGCTCAGTGAAATAAGCCAGGCAGAGAAAGATAAGTACCAAATGATTTCACTCATCTGTGGAGCATAAGAACAAAAGAAAACTGAAAAAACAAAACAGCAGCAGAAGCACAGAATCCAAGAATGGACTGATAGTTACCAAAGGGAAAGGGACTAGAGAGGACAGGCGGGAAGGGAGGGATAAGGGCGGGGAGAAAAGAAAGGGGGCATTACGATTAGCATGTATAGTGTTGGGGGGGCACGGGGAGGGCTGCGCAACACAGAGAAGACAAGTAGTGATTTTACAGCATCTTACTACGCAGATGGACAGTGACTGTGATCTTGGTGACAAGTAGTGATTTTACTATTTTGATGGACAGTGACTGTGAACGGGGATGTGGGGGGGACTTGCTGAGGGGGGGAGCCTAGTAAATATAATGTCCTTCATGTAATTGTAGATTAATGATACCAAAATTTTAAAAAAATTAAATTTAATTTAAAAAAAAAAAGCCATGGGTTTAGGTGAGAGACCACAGGGAAAGTGATGGGGCTATGGAGAAAACCCAAGGTCAAGGAGGACACCCTCCTTCAAGGGCAGGGGAAGCGGCAGGCAGTTTAGAAGGAAGGAAACCAACAGAGTGAGACCTTAGAGGTGTGCATTTCACTGTTGGTGAAGGTTCAGTCAGGAACGTAAAGGCCACTCCTAAGAAGACCAAGTCCTTTCCCTGCGCCAGGAGCTGGGCTTGTCACCAAGATGGTTTGGGATTAGTGCCTCCATTTTCCCTGCCTCCCTTTCCTGGCATTGCAGGACATCTAGGAGCATGCACCCTTGGAGGGGGGAGTGCAGCCAGGACTGTCAGGCCTGCCCCAGGGTCACAGGCCAGGGATTCCAGGGGCCAGGCCCAGGCTTCGGAGGAGACAGGCAGGGATGGAGTGCCCCAGTGTGGGCTGGCCTGCACTGTTCTCCTGAAGGGCTCTTCTGGCCAACACCCAACATCAGCCTTCCAGAGGGCTGTGCTCTGTGCCCCAGACGCCCACTCAGAAGCCCAGTTCCCTCGACCAGCTCAAGCCATGTTTGCTTCCCAAAGTAACCGCCAAGATGCCCGCCCCATTTGCCCGACTCTGATGGTGGGAGGAGGGCAGGTCATGCAGGGCAGTGGCCTGGAGAGCCCTGGAGGAAGCAGGCTGAGTTCCAGGTGGACTCTCCAAGGACCAGACAGACCAAGGGGGTTCCAGGCATTATGACGCCATCTTGGCCTCGGTGGGGAACGGAGGAGGCTGGACAGTGAGGCTGATGGGGCCCCAGCCCCTCTGGCTGTAGCCCAGTGCAGGGAGCAGGACTGGGAGGTAGCACTCCGGGGTCACCTTTTCCTTGTCATGAGGGTAAGCAGGCCAAGGTGTGGCTCCCGGCTGCTTCTCGAACCCAACCATCTGTGAAGAACTAGAATCTTCCGCTCAGTGGAGTTCTCACAGAGTCTGGCTCTGAGCAAAGGTGGCAGAGAAGCCCCAGAACCAAACGGAACCTGCTGTCAGGGCTGCAGCCCCGCTCTCGTTCTGCTCTCTGTGTGGACATCAATGAATTGTGTTCGGTAAGCCTGCAACGGACGCAGTGCCTGAGGGATGGAGACAGCCGCGCACGCAGACCGGCACAGGCCCCTGTGGCCCAGCACCCTGCCGGCCCTGCAGAGTGGCCAGTGCCCCCTCTTCACGTAAGGACCCAGCTCTGCCTGTAGAGCTCAGGCTAGGGCAGGCCACGGTGGGAACCCCCTCCTTTTCTCCCCCACCACTGCTTTTGCTTCCCCTCCCTCCAGCCAGTTGGGAGAGGAGAGGAGAGAGAGCCTCGGGACACCCCAGGGATCTTCCAGCTGCTGTGCAGGCCGGGGGCTGGTTTGGGGAGCTGCAGTGCATGAGGGGCCTGTGGCTGTCATCACAAGATGCCACAGCCTGGGTGGCTTAGAACAGAGCTTTATCATTCTACCTACAGGGAAGGAGCCCCGAACGGCGGTGTCAGCAGGGCCCCGCTCCCCGAGCCCTGTAGGAGAAGGTCCCACCTCGACCCTTCCACCTCCTGGGCACCAAAGATGTTTCTCAGCCTGTGGCAGCGTCACTCCAGCAGTCACCTCACCCTCCCTCTGTGTGTGTCCCTCTCTGTGTCCAGATGGCTCCTTTTATGACAACACGCAACCCATCACCCTCTCCAAGGCCTGATGGCATCGCTCTTGCCAAAGTAAGAAGTATGGGGAAGCCAGTCCTTGGCATTCGCAGAGCTGGCATGGGGTGCAGGGCACTGCCAGGGGACTTGGGCAAACCCCACCCCCCATTGATTCTAGTAGAACTCCTGGTCTGGGCTGTGCTTGGAAGCGAGCCACAGTAACGCCAGGAAATGGGAGCAGGTGTTGTCAGTGCAATCAATACAGATGGATGCTAAGTACATTGCCTCCCATCAGCTCGGGTCATTTTTTGCCACCAAATAAATTAGGAAAAACTTCTAATATTTAGAGATCTTTGAATATAAGAATTTCAGAGGAAGGATTGTGGACCAGCATAAACTTGAACTTGTTCATATATTGCCTTGGAATTCTCCCGTGTCTTACTGGTGTACTTTATCTTGCTAACTAGAATGTCACCCTCCTCCTCTTTCTTCCCACAGTTGTCCTGATGAAGGAGGAGCTGAAGCTTGGCAGACCTGCCCCCTCATCAAGGACACGGACTCTTTTAAGGTGCAGCCAGCCTCCCCTGGGAGGAGGTGTCACTGCCACCTGCACTTTAGGGCTCCAAGTGCCAGGCCGGCTGCTTCCCCTGGGGCCAATGGATGTCCCCCACGGAGGACAGGGGGCAGACAGGAGAGCACTACACCTCCGCTGGCTGCAGGCCTCACCCAGGTCTTGGCCAAGCTACTTAGACGGTCCTGGGAAGTCTGCAGCCATCCTGAGGTCACCAGGATGTGGGGGCAGCTGTATTGTGTAGGGGGTTGCTACAGACTGAAAGGCACCCCCAGTAAAATTCATATGTTGGAAAACTACCCTCCAGTGAGATGGTATGTGGGGGCCTTTGGGAGAGAATTGGGTTTGGATGATGTCCTGAGGGTGGAGCCCTAAGACAGGATTAGCGCCCTTAGAAGAAGAGGAGAAGATACAAGAGCCTTTCTTTCTCTTCTGTATGAAGACATAGCCAGAGAGCAGTCCTCTGCACACCAGGAAAAGGGCTGCCACCAGGAGCCACATCTGCCAGTGCCTTGACTGTGGCCTTCCCGGCCTCCAGAACTGTGGGAGAAGTGTCTGTCATTTGAGCCCCTCAGCCTATGCTGTTTTGTTACAGCAGCTGGAGCTGACTAATACAGAGAGCTTCTGGTCAGTAATGCGACAAAGACTGGCTGGGTTTCAGGTGCATGCCAGCTCAGCCATGCTTAAAGTGCCTCAGACAACCTGGAACAGCAGTTAGAATCTGCTGTGGGATATTGAAGAACTTCTTCCAACTTGAAATCACGGAGCGAGTTGCCAGGCACTGCCTCATGGCCACTCTGCATTCCTGCATTCTCTTTCTCTTCTCTCTCTCTCTCTCTCTCTCTCTCTCTCTCTCTCTCTCTCTCTCTCTCTCTCTTTCTCACACACACACACACACACACACACACATGGTGTCCTGGGCCACCTACACCATGACCTATGGTGGTAAAGGCATTTTACAAAAAATAAGCCAAGCCGGTGGTCACCACCAACGTGAGCCTGAGATGAGGAGGTGCAGGGCAGAAGTGGGTGCGTGCCAAGTCAGACTGCAGCTATAGTGCCACAGGGTAAGGCATGGGCTCTGACGTCAGAAAGAAGGCAGTTTGAGACCTGGCTGTGCCCCCTTCACAGGCTAAACTTGGATATGTTATTCAGCCTTGGTGCACCTCAGTTTTCTCACCTGTGAAATGGAGATAATTAAAAGTCAGAGGGGTTTTCATGAATATTAAATGAGATGAGATGATGTGCAAAAAGTGCCCAGCACAGTACCT